GATCACCAAAATTAATGTAAACAATATTGAATGAAATTTTGAATAAAATAAATAAAATAGATTACAAACGTAAGTCCAGATCTACAATGTACACTTTTTATAACCAGACAGTGTAATTACATGATTAATTTGCATACTTCAGTCTGGATTTGTTGACACAGTTCGTCTTTGTGTTAGGGGAAAAAACTTAAAAACTCTTCAAACCTTTGAAAACCCCACTTTGAAAGTCCCCTAATTCTACGTACGAAAAACTCTCCTTATACACAGTAACATACGGTATAAAAAATATCTGGACTTTACCAGATTTTTTAAATTATCCTGCATTCTCCTTAAAGTTTCTGTATCCGACGATATGGAGGCGGGAATACATTCAGATGAGTTCTCAATAAGTAAAACCGACAAAAATTCCTGTCAGCCGTAAGGTGCAAATCTTCTGCGCAGAGCGGGAATTGATCAGCCTATCCTGTCCAAGGAGTATAAGTACATCCGGGTGAACAAACAGTACAAGCGTGCGCTAGGGTCCAGAAACTGGGTTACCAAGCCATGTTTGCATAGATGCAGTAAAATCTAGCGAGTAATGAAACTGCACGAGTAGGATAAGGCTGGCTCTGGACAAGATTCAATTGTTTTTAATGGCGTCACGGATTGTTTACCTGCTTTGCTACAAAGCGGTCTAAACCTGTGCATAACTTGGCATCTTCTAAAGCCACATCCCACAGGTAGTGAATGGCAAACACTGAGTCCGACCTTTATAAACATCCTTCCATGATGGATCTCATAGAACAATTACTGTGTAGAGCCATTATGGAGGCAACTGCCTGAATCTCATAGGGGTTAATAGCTCTCGATAGTTCGAGATTAGAAATCTCGTAAACATGATAGCTCGCATCCTTAAGGAAATGGTATTGCAGCTTATCTCAGTCATGGACGTCTCAGAAACAGGGATGAACAATTGTTTCCGCGTACCACGCCTAGTCTTGGCGTAGAGGATGAAAACCTCGTGTGCACGCACCGGGCATAATATAAGTTCATCCTTATCTTCCACTCCCACAATGGACAATAATGGTGGGATAGAGAAAGAACGATCAGGTTGTCCTGGCAACTGTTTTTTTTTTGCCATAAAATCCCAGCACAACCTGAGGTGGACCGCTCTATGCATACCCCGCTTGAAGCGTGCATGTATGATGTCAAGCATATGAATCTTGCTCATTTTTGCCGCCATGGCTTAGGACAAGAGAGTCTTCTTGGTGAGATTGAAAAACGATGTTGCATGGAGAGGCTTGAACAGAGTTCCACGCAAATATCGAAGTATGGCTTGGTAAGGCGAGTGAAACGCCACTTAAATGCAAAATGATAGGATCGCCCAGTGGTAGTGGATACCAAAGAACTGGAACCTGAGGAACCGCCAGTCGGGTGGATAGGCACATGCAGGTAAGAATCCTGCAGGTCGAGGCTGATCAGGGAGTCGTAAGCATTGATGCTGCCACTGAGCAATCCTAAGGTAATGAGACGTAAGTAAGGAGGCGCTCCAGGTAACGTTCGTTGAACAAAGCAAGATTGTGTATCATCCACATTTTGTTCGAATCCTGCTTTGGAACAAGGAAAATACGGCTCTTTTCTCCAACAAGGTCTGTATGTTGGTCCCCAACAATTGATTTCGTTTTCTGGGGTAAAGCCACGGATGCTGTTGTAACCTTATAAAGTTGAGAACATATGTATCTGCCATACCTATCCAATTTCTCCCAAACAGGCCTAGTCTCCCACCGACTGGTGTGTCGACCATTGGGACGTCTGGAGGTGGGAGATCCCAGTCATGATTGTCCACTGGGTCAGTGTTTCCCCCTCATCAAAGTTTATCAGCGACCTTGCTCCTACCCTGGGAACTACTCCTAGGATTAATAGGAGCCTTGGCCTCGTCCTTTGCCACGAAAGGAGTACTGATCGGTGGTCTGGTCCTTGAGGGATGAGTGCCTAAGTCCATAATTCCATGACTTTGACGCACATTGGCCAAGGTTCTGGGATACATGTTCCAGGGCCTTTAAGCTTGAGTGCTGTCTCATCTTTGGTTTACGTGTCAGTTATTTGGCCATTTAAGTTGAGGCAAACTATGTCTGATGAAGCAGCAGGCGCTTAAATTCAGAATCCCAATTGGAGAAGGGCAAATAGCCCAGATGGCAGGTGGCAGTAATATCAGTTGAAGCTGCCTTAAGGTGATTACATGTGTGATCGATATGCCTTTGTTGGAAATCTACTGCCGTCTGGAAAGGATCGATCCTATTGGCATCGGATTTAGAAGATCATGGTCCATAGCATGAGATGACACGGCTAATGCCGACAAGGGTTTTAGGGACCATCTGATTTCCGTTTCTATGAATGCGAAACGGTAGACAGGAGAGCAGTTCCTGGAGCACCAGTGGGTCTTAGATGCCTTGGAAGATCGTCTAGATTGCGTCCCGTGATGTGGGCTGAGATGATGACGGAGTACCCAAGCCCACCCCTGGCATAGCCATATCTGTAGATGGGACTGTAAGAGATGCCAGAGGTGCTACAGACGCTTGGGCTATAGCAGGAGCTTGGGTAAGTGTGTTCACCTAAAGCGCTGGCAGTGTGTAAGCCTGATAGTTTCCACATCATGAAGGCTTGAACGACGTGCAGAGAGAAACTTGCACCAGGGCCTTGAGAGCAGTCTCATCTCTGGTGAAGTTGGAGACACGAGAGACTTGGCATTAAAGAGGGAGGTGGAAGACCAGGGTTGACATAAGAGGTCCCTCTTGTCATTGGGTGGTGGTATAATCGATTTGGCACTCTTGGTAGGCTATGACAGTGGCAAGATAGTCTACATGATGAGGGTTATCCTCCGAGAGGTCTTGGATGATGGCTCTGGAGGTGGATGCCATAATGGTGGCTTGATGGAGAGACAAATCTCTGTCTCAATGTACAACAATCTAGTGTCTGGGACACGGATGGTTGTGGAGCAGTTGGACCCCGTCATGTGGTGAAGGTCATTATCAAGTGTGTGAGCGCTGTCCACAAGGTCTAAGGCGTAGACCGGGATGTCATCCTTCCTGTACTTGGGCGCTTTGAAGGAGGGGGTAAGTGAAAGCTTGGCAAAGTTTTTTATCTAACGCTGATATCATGTCTCTTATCGTTTGATCGGGAAGGATGGATATTAGATAAGACCAGACATGCTTTTTCATCCAGGTCTGGGTCCGGTGACAGAGCAGCAGCAGCCTAGCAATCTGCTAGCCAGTAAGGGACCTGGTTGAGGCCTAGGTGGGAGTCAACATCTGAGAGTGAACCATCATACACTGAGGCCAAAGATGCCGAGAGTGTCGAAGGCACTAGAAACTGGGGCATCGCCTGTTGAATCATCAACTGCATGAGGTGAAGCCACGATGGGTCAATGTACAGCACCTAAAGGTCTGAGGAGGCACCAGAAGGAAGATGCGTGTCCAAAACGCCGGCACCACTGGCGCCGTGGATAGTTGGTATGACAGAGAGGGACAGGCTCAGTGTTGTCCGTGCCATGCCAGCTGTTATCGTAGAAGAGGAGACTGAGTAGATCAACGCTGAAGGGATGGACATCGGAGACAGTGTCATATCAACAATGGAGGACATGGTCTGTATAGGCGATGTACATGTAATCCCCAACAAAGACACAGGTTTGTGTTTGTTTTGTTTGTTTGTCATTTAACACTGCACTCAGCAATATTCCAGCTATATGACGGCTGTCTGTAAATAATCGAGTCTTGACCAGACAACCCAGTGACTGACATCATGAGCATCAATCCACGCAATTGGGATACAATGACATGCATCAACCAAGTCACCTGATCCCGTTAGTCACCTGATCCCGTTAGTCGCCTTTTACTACAAGCATAGTCACCTTTTACGGCAAGCATTGGTTGCTGATGACCAATTCTATCCCGGATCTTCACGGGTAAAACACAGGTAGAGTGGTTGACGCCAGAGTGATCTGATAAAGAAATGGTCGTGGCTGGTGGGGGTGTAGTAGGCTCGGACGATTAAGACATGTTACTTAGTCGTCGTTTCCGGGCCTGCTGTGTCCACCTTTTCCTTGATACCTGGGAGTATTTCAAGAAAGCTGTAGGAGAAAGTGGCAGAAAATCACTACACTTAGTAACCTGGAAGCAGAGGGTGGTGACAATTGAGACACAATAATGAGGGTCCCACCCAGACTTATTGCAGTGGCACTGTATCGGCAATGATAGAAAGTGTAATCAAAATTTGTTCCCGCCCGATTATGTATGCTATCATCTTTTATCCCAGCCATGTTGGTTTATAAAGAACAAGTTTACGCAAGGAACGAGAAAAAACACCACTTCAATAACCATAATATCGCAAGGTGTAACAATGAATTGAAGTACCAAGCAATATAAAGAATACAGAATGCATGACACGAATATACGTGACCACGCAATGAATTCAAAATGGCTAATTGGAACAACAATACACCTGATAATTTTCCATGGCAAACACCACCACCAGGCATTAAATATTATTGTTGTGGCAGAAATCATATGAAAGATATGTAGACACAAACCATAAGCACAGTAACAATCACAATGAATAATAGGGTTGCAAAAACACACAAAGGATTCAAATAGATCAAGCTGACATCTCAAACAGATGACAAGATCAGTGTTGTCACCCCTTCCGTGGTCCCGTGGGAGCTGTGTGATAGGGTTAGCCACTCAGCTAGTTGAAACAACTTCTTCTTCAGCATGACCTCACATGGTTCTTTCTCTGTCAGGAACAAGCAGTAAGTGCATTAAGGAGTAATGCAGGATGATTTAAAAAATAATAGATATTGTGAGTTTTGTTTGGGGGTGACTTTATGCTATTCCCCTGTCGAATGGGTTCAACATAGGATCTACGGCTGGTGACACACTCTGTCAAATGAGTTCAACATTAGCATTGAGAGCTTTAAATGATTACGGATTACTGAAAATAAATAGTGTGTAAATGGTTTGTGTTACCTGAAGTCCTGGATCGTTGAGAACCTCTAATAGCGTGTCATACAGTCTGGTATCACCCTGGAAAGACAAACGAAATAGCTCACCTTACTTTTACAACATTGTTACAACGATGTTGGGTGCAAAATTTAGTCATGCCTTGAACAAACGTTGATCTTCTTATAGACATTATGTTCATACATCGAACAATAGTTATCATAGTTAATAATTCTAAGAATACTACCACTATTACATCTTTGCCATAAATCCTGTATTTTGGCTTCAGTGTCACTAACTAAATTATCATATTTTCAACAGATGTCCTCTTCACTGTCAATTACACACAATTAGTTGTTCCCGAATAGCACTACAGCAAACTAAGCTATGACGTGCGTAATGGCGACAAACCTCGCTACTTTCCAACATCTAACCACTAGAGGTAGATGAATCGGGGAGGTGGGTGGGTGTACTCCTGATGTAAAAGATGTACTGTATATGGCTGTGTATAAGGCGAGTTTTTCCTACCTCAAATTAGGGGTCTTTCAGGGGGGGGTCATCTTATAAACAGGGTTGAAGAGTTTTGATGTTTTTCCCCCAAACACAGACATAACTGTGAGCACATAACACCTGACATACCATGTCAACAAATCCTTACTGAAGTACGCAAACTAATCATGTAATTACACTGTCTGGTTATAAAAACAGTTAATTACGTATCTGGACTTACTTTTGTAATCTATTTTATTAATTTTATTCAAAATTTAATTCAATATAGTTTATTTTCATTTTGGCAAAATGGTAGGTGTATTGATCGGAAGATCGTACAACTCACCTTTATTTACAGTAACCACGGTCATATTACCGCTATTGACGCCTTGAAACAAACTTTTATGGATAGTGAATGGATCTATCTATCATAAATGCCATACATTGAATTGCTTAAAGTCATATTTGTTGTAGTTTGACGATCATTTGTCAACATAAAGTTTTCACTTTCGCGAGCGCAGAAGCATTGGTGGTGATTGGTGAATTTGCCCCACAAAAAAAATAGCAATCAGCTGTACCAAAGTGCTATGCTTATGGTTATTAATTTCAAATATATATAGTAAAATACTACTAAATAACATGATATTGGAATAAATTTTTCTGAAAAAATAATAGTTTCAGATTCAATTCTTTCGATTATTGTATCAAAATTCTTTAAAGTTATATTATTGGGTAATCATTAACCAAATCACCAGTAGATTCTGAGAAACGTGTGTACAGCTGATTGCTACTTCTGGCTTAGTTTATGAGAAAATACACAATGTTATCTTAATCTCTGCATATAAAACAATGCCTATCAGAACAGGAAATACAATTTAATCGGTAAATGATCATGTCTAGTTGGTTTTTTTTATCTCGACTTTTAAATGTTTTTATTGAACATGTAGCGATTGTGTATGCGCTGGTGAGGTGCTTCATTCAGATTCGCTTTATAGATGGGATATATAAATCAGCATCGATTTTAAAGGCTTGTACAGGGGGGGGCACCTTATACGTGGGGTCGTTCTATAGACAGTGATATACAGTAGTTTTCTTAGAATTATTAACTATTGATCAATAATTCTTGTGAATCCTCTACCTCTATTACATCTTTGCCAGAATATACCAGGGGGACCTGGTGGGATCAGCCTCTAGTAACTACCTGTGTAATTGACCTTATTTACCCTGGAACCATGACATCTATATACCTTGAAACACGTAATTGACGTTATTTATAAGAAATAATCCTAATTGTTAATCCCCATTTTTTTGTACATTGACCATCTGCCATCCTGAACAAGATGTGCAAGTATTTCACTGATGAATTAGTGTTTACATTTAATTATGACTTACTAAATGTCAGGTGACCTTGGCTATATAAGCCTTGGTCCAGAGGGAGAAAGAGGGAGAAAGAGGGAGAGAAAGGTCTTACCCTTAGCTTAGCTAGGGCTAGGCTGGGCGCTCCGGGGCACCAAGATAACTAAGGATCAAGTTTGAAATCATCCAACAAACAAAGATTGTAATATAGTTGCAAGCAACGATGCAGGCTCCGAGCGTTACTGAACTTTTGTTGCCAATCCTGGTTTACATTCATGGAAGTCCATTTCACAATATCTCACTTTGGTTACTAAGGCCCAAGGTGATTACTATTAAGGAGTAAGTTCCTGTTGACTCATGAATCACTTCCTGTATCAGGAGAGATATGTGCACTACTGTACATGATTATAATATGGTCTTGATTAACAATGTGATATTTCACTGGTTCGTATTGACTGAGAAAAAAATGGCTGTTTTAACACTGGCCCAGTTTGGCATTATTATGGAAGGTAACCTTATTTGCCCGACAGGCAATTGGAGAACCCATTACCTGCCACTATGACCACTAGGATCAACAGCTGTAGCAGAGAACGCTGTTTGCTATTACTAAGCATTAAGTGTTGTGTGGTTATGCACCAAATGGTAAACAAGGCAAAGTACCAGGCGCAGATGTCTACCAGCAGCTCAATTACTGAGCTATATAGCGTGACCGATGTCTCACTATTGTTATAAGGTAAAAATGCATCCCCAAAACCTTAGAAAACAAGCGTATAGTTGACAAAGTCATCTATATCCCCCGCCCATTTTAACACGTTATGGTCCCAAACCAGGTAACTGACCCAACATTTCTCTTAGCCCATGTCAAAAGAGCTGCAATGGAAATTCTAAAATAAACATTTCTAATATAGACATGCAATGTTTGGCAAGGAAATATTTAACAGTTTATTTGTTATACTACTTAAGTAAACCAATCTTATATTAAAACTTAAATCCAACTTGTTGTCATGGAAACATAAACAATACAAATTTCTAAAAGTGCTATATATCAAAAGGCACCAGTTCAGTATGTGCCTGGTAGACATGCAAAGTTTTGTAACAAAGTATTTAATGGTTTTTGAGTTACACTCTGGAAACAAACACCACCCCTGTAGAACCTAAGTCCAACTTATTGCCATGGAAACGTGAAAAGTAAAAATTTCTAAAAATCCTAAATACCAAGAGGCACCAGTCCGGTATGTGTCTGGTTAACATGCACAGTTTTTGTTGGAAAGTATTGAATGGGTTTTGAGTTATGCCCCGGAAACAAACTCTACCCTATAGAACCTAAGTCCAACTTGTTGCAATGGAAACGTAAAAAATAAAAATTTATAAAATTCCTAAATAGCAAAAAGGCACTAGTTCAGTATGTGCCTAGTAGATATGCAAAGTTTTGTAAGAAAGGATTTAACAGTTTTTGAGTTATGCTCCGGAAACGAACACCACCCTTATAGAACCTAAGTCCAACTTGTTGCAATGGAAACGTAAAAAATAAAAATTAATAAAACTCCTAAATAGCAAAAGGCACCAGTTCAGTATGTGTCTGGTAAACATGCAAAGTTTTGTAAGAAATTATTTAACAGTTTTTGAGTTACGCTCCGGAAACGAACAGCACCCTCATAGAACCTAAGTCCAACTTGTTGCCATGGAAACGTAAAAAATAAAAATTTATAAAATTCCTAAATAGCAAAATGCACCAGTTCAGCATGAAACTGATAGACATGCAAAGTTTCGTAGAGAAATATTTAACGGTTTCTGAGTTATGCTCCGGAAACGATTTCGGGACGCGCGCACACACGCGCATGCACGCACGCATGCACAGACGGAACCCATTTCAATATCCCCCGCCAACTTCGTTGGGGCGGGGGATAATAATGATAAAGTCAACCTTCAAATTGATGGTTTTAGCTATAAAAGCAATGGAGACAGAAAGCCAATCAATAGGGCGATGACAGTGACAGGATATTTCGGGATAGCTTCGGTGGTGTTGTCGCCAATTAATCAATAGACATCTTTAATTGGTTAGTAGGTTCCGGTAATTTGCTGATCAGGACACAAAGATGAGTTCATGGTCTGATATTGTTCTTAACCAATAGAAATGATCTATGAGGACATGTGACAAAAACAGGCCAGGCCTGAACACTCTTAAATGATACCTTCAACATTATAGTCAATACTAATACTATCTTCTAGTATTAGGGGAGGAGGAGAGGAGAGTGCAGTTTGCAGTCGACTGAGTCGAATCCCGATCGTTCTAAGCTCTCCCCATTTTGTGACAAGCTAACGCTCTAATGCATCTGACTTACCCAGCCCCATGGGTCTTAGGGAAGCTGACAAACCTTTCCGATCCAAACTGCTTTAGGGTCTTAAGGAAACTGACACGTCTTTACAATGAAAAAATCCTTTTCGATCCTTCGACTAAGCCTGGTTAGGGATTGGGTTAGCCATAAATTCTTATCTTTTCACAGTGTTTCCAATAATCGAAATAGGGTAATACGATTGGAGCAATCCATTAAGCATGTTTCGTATCACCATAAGTTTTTCACTTTGATGGACAACAATGGCGGGTCTGGTTTCGTTAGAAAAATGAATGGGAAGGGAGAAGGCAACCATGGTCGCAAGACTTGGAACCACTTCCGTACAGTCGGGCCACGCACAACTATTCATGTTGAGGGGTGGAACAAAAGACTCCAAACCAAACCCATTCAAGATTCTAGACTTCATAACGACAGAACAGTCTCTTGTTGAAGTTTCTGTTTTTCAGCTTGTGAAGCAAAAGAAATACTGACACCTGGAAAAATATATTGGCCGTTACAAAAGACAATTTCTTGCAGGGGAGAATTGTGCTGTCGAATACCTTGCTGCCGTCTCACATCTAACTTGGTACTAATCTTAATGAATTAATGAAATAATTATAATAATTTGTATTGACGTATATATGTATGCATGTGCATCATGTCAAGAGTTTGTATTGATGTATACATGTATATAGAGGTTATCAGGCGAGTGTTTTGGGGGATGGTAAATATCCTGTGTTAGGAATAAACATTGTATTTAGAGAGCCTTGACGACACACAAGCATGATAACCTCTTTATCGTATAATGTCATGTATAATTCTGTGCTTGAAAATCTCTTCCCTTCTCTCACAAACATTACTGAAACATTGCAAGTTTTCCTGGAATGTGAGCATTAATATATATTA